CCAAATTTATCCCCAAAACTCTCTCTTTTCCCCCTTCCCTATTCAAATAAAATCACTTTATTTGTCACTCGCCAATAAAACTGGTTAGATTTTACCTTAAAATTCTTACTTACAACCCTTAATGCAGAAATAAAATATTTCTAAAAAAATAAAAAGTACACAATAAAAAACAAAAACCCGGGTTATAACGGGGGGTACCGGTCCCGGTCAATTGCGAGGTTGGTTCGTCGAAGTAATTGCTATTTGTACTGTAGGTGGGGGGTAAAGTGACTTGCATGATAGAACAGCGATACACAGTGAAAAACAAAGGGGGGGGGGGGCTCAATTAAATAGCCATTTGGCCATTTGATGAATTGTTCACAGTCTTTTTGCTTGGGGGTAGAAGCTTTAAAGGAGCCTTTTGGACCTAGACTTGGGCCCCGGTCCCGCTTCCCGTGGGGTAGAAAGAGAACAGCTATGATTGGAAAAGCTCTCTCTCGCCCTCTCGCTCTCCCATTTCTACTATTGACAGCGACATTAATTTTTACAAAAAAAAAAAGGAAACCTTGAAAAAAGAGGATCAAAATATTTTGAAAGCGGGTGCTTCCACAACGGGTGTTTTTCCTGATAAATTAAGCAATTAAAACTCCATCCTGCTTAGGGTCATGTAAAAAAAAGGCCCTTCTCATTATTTTGTCTCCATGGCGAAAAAAATCTCAGTGATTTTAAAAGGGGGGTCCAAAGGAGCGGGGGGTTTAAAAAAGGGGGTCGTCCAGTCACAGATCTGAAACTTACGGAATTCAGAAGCGGCGCCTATTTTCCCCATCATCAAAAAAACCAAAAAATGAATTTCTGGTGAAGAAGGGCCCCCGCTCCCCCCAACAGAGTTCCAGACACTTGTAATCTTTTCCAAGGGGCTTGAATTTTTCTGGTGGCTATTAAACACTATGTTGGCGTTTTTCCCTTTTTTTGGCTTTTCCCGTACATTCTCCACCCAATATCAGTTCCAGGATAACACAAAGTGCTCTTTTTAAAAAAGGGGGAGTGGTGACCTAACCCATAAAAAGATTTTTTAAAATTTTGTTAAAATTGGGAGTTTTTTTGCCCGGGGTCGAAATCGGACAACATAAAACGTCAATGGTTTTTTTCCTCAGTAAAACTCAAGATAATCGACCTAACAAAACCTCTCTCGGTCTCTTGACCAAAAGGGAATTGGGGGGGGGGGCATCAAACGACAGGAGCTCCTGTTAAATTAAAATTTGAAAAACACTAGCGTGCGTCCCAAAAAGCCCCCTATTCCCTACATAGTGCACTACTTCTGACCAGGGCTCTATAGGAATAGGGTGCCATTAGAGACACAGCCCCTTGAGCAATTAATCAGGAGTCCCTGAGCTGAGAGACTGATTCAGAAAAGACCACGAGGAAAAGGGAGTGGTGTTGTTTCTGCTTCCTGAAGAGATCTGTTCTACTGGAGAGTTAATGGGAGAAAAGGGAATGTGACTGTTCCCGGGGGGGTGGAGGGGTTAGGATGCAGGCAGGGTGATTACATCACAGAGGTCATCTCTAGGGTCAAGTCTGCTCAGTGTGATTTTAACACTGAGGGCACTTCCCTGTCACCACCACCAGCCTGTTATTCTGGTCCCATTCTAACCACCAGCCTGTTATTCTGGTCCCATTCTAACCACCAGCCTGTTATTCTGGTCCCATTCTAACTCCCCAGAGAATTAGTGCCACACTCATCTCCTGCGTCTTAGTTCGCTCCACAGTACCCCATACCTCATTTCATCTGCAGTGTGGAGACTAAACTAGGATTTAAATCTGCAGTGTGGAGACTAAACTAGGATTTAAATCTGCAGTGTGGAGACTAAACTAGGATTTAAATCTGCAGTGTGGAGACTAAACTAGGATTTCAGTGAACTGCCATAATATGTATAAATACAGCCTCTATCCCCATCGATTACCAAATCACACTAAGCCTAAGTAAGTAATTGCTTTCCTCAGATTACAGGGTGTTGATGGGGAAGAGAGTGAAAATTGGCATTTATGCTAAGTAGAAACAGAAATTACAAGCAGGAAACACATTTTGAAGCACTTGACAAAACTGGGTTAGTCTGTAAAAGCAGGAAGGCTGAGAAGGGAATCCCTTGAATACCAGTCTAAGTGATCTGACAGGACTGGAATCTTCATTAGAGGAGATCATACACAGTACATCTCAACAACAAGCCTATTTCTTTCTTCAAAAAACTTTTCCCCTTTTTCTTTTTAAAATTGGGTCACATGAAAAAAAAAATCAATGCAAAGTTTCTTATTTCAAAACTGGGCCCAAAAATTAAAATCTAAGGGAAAATTTTTTTTTCCCCGGGGAGTAAAAGGGTAACGGGGGTACAAGGCACCTACGGTAAAACCAAAGGGAGAGGGGTACTCAAATTTAAAACCCCGGTAGAGAGGGTATCAATTAACACAAAAGGCCCGAGAAAGGTTTCTCAATGTAACCCCAAAGGGAGAGGGGTACTCAAAGGGAAACCAAGGGAGAGAGGGGACCAAAAGTAAACCCCAAGGGGAGAGGTATCAATGTAAGCACATATGATTACACCCCAAACCTGGGTCTAATATATTCCTGGGCTACAAAAACCCATAACTCTGAGGGCGGGCAAAGGGGGGGCAGAGGGGGGCAGGGGAGGGAGAGGGGCAGGGGGAGGCAGGGGGAGGCAAAGGGGGGGGAGGTGGGGCAGGGGGGCAAGGGGGGGGAGGGGGAGGCAAGGGGGGCAGAGGGGGGCAGGGGGGGCAAGGGGGGGGGGGGGCAGGGGAGGGCAGGGGGGCAAGGGAGGGGCAAGGGGGGGGGCAGGGGGGGGCAAGGGGGCAGGGGGAGGCAGGGGGGAGGCAGGGGGGGGCAGAGGGAGGCCGAGGGGGGAGGGGGGGCATGGGAGGCAGGGGGGGAAAGGGGGGGGGGGGCAGGGGGAGGGAGGGGGGGGGAAGGGAGGGAGGCAGGGGAAGCAGAGGGGGGCCCCGGGGGGGGCAAGGGGGGCGAAGGGGGGCAGGGGGGGCGAGGGGGGCAAAGGGGCAAGAGGGGGGCGGGGGGCAATTGGGCTACATTTTTGATTTTCTTTCAAATCCTCTGGGGCCGCTAGTGGTAAAACCAGACAGGGCCCCCTCCACCCTTTGAACTGGGAATTTTTAAAAAAAAATATCAAGGGACCTCCCAAAAAACGCATTTAATTTTGTTTTGTCTGTCCTTTTTTGAAACCTCATGTTATCCTTTTTTTTCCTATTAACCCCCATTTTTCCCATTGTTAAGGAGGAAAAGGGTTTTGCTAACGGTTAAACTGCCAAAAAAATCCCCACCAAATTTGCCCCTTTTTTAAAGAATTCCAAGGCCCCAAAACCCCCCGATCGGGGTGAGGGGTTTTCCCTTCCCAGGGGGGGAGGGATTAAAGAGTGACCCTTTCCCCTTTTTTTGCACTCCCCTTTTTATGACCCCCCCAGAAAATCAAGGTTTCACTTTTGGGGGCAGGATGGGAAAACTGAGGGTTTTTTAAGCTCGGCCATTTAGGAGCGAAGAAGAGAAGAGAGAGAGAAGAGAAAAGAAAGAGATGAGAGAGACGAGAACAGAGAGAGAAGATTAGAGAAAAAAGGCCCACAAGAACCCGAGACAAAAGAGAAGAGAGAAAAGAGAGAAGAGAGAGAGGAAGGATAGGGGAGGGGAAGAGAGAAGAGAGAGGAGGCACCCAGGGAAAAGAGAGAAAAAGAAAAGAAAGAGAGGGGAAAAAGGAAAAGAAGACGATAAAAGAGAATAGAAAGAAGGAAACAAGACAGGACGAGACAAAAACAGAGACAAGACAGAGAAAAGACAAAACAGATACAGAGAGAGAAGAAGAGAGAGAGAGAGATAAAAAGGGGAGGAAAAGAGAGAGGAGAGAGAAGATAGGAAGAAACCTGTAAAGGGGTTTTTTCCTGCTTGAAAACCAGGTGCTAAGGAACCACTGTGAAATCTTAAGACTAAAAATGGCAGGTCTACCTCAGAATAGGCTACGACAGTTCGAAGTAGTCCCATTGATGGTCAAAACAAAAAAAACAAAAAAACACAACAGTAAAACGGCAACTCATTTAAAAGGACCGCTTTAGTAGAACAGCAGTAACATACAAAACAGCTGTTTTCATTTAAAAAAAGGTTACCATTAGGGCTGGAGGAGTTGAAAGGAAAGGAGGAGGGGTTTTTCCCCCAGCGCTCGTTGAATAGCCTGGTTCTGTCCAGACAGGTTTGGAACAGCAGGAGGAGAAGCAGTAGGAAGGAACCAAATCATCCCATCCACTCAGCCAGGAATAGTGATGGTGCTACCCTGATCTCACCATGCAAATCACCAGGACCGCGTCCCAAATGGCACCCTATTCCCTATATAGCGCACTACTTTCTAACAGAGTCCTATGGGCCCTATATATAAAGGTGCCATTTGGGGACATAGCCCAGTGTTCCCAACCAGGCAGTGGGCAGAGGCCAAGGGACTGTACTGTACAAGTCCTCTCAAGCAGAAGAGACCATATCGAGACACGTATGGTAGTAGGAGCCAGCCAGGTTATATACAATCAGAACATCTGGATGAAGAAAGTCTGATGTTACATGCCATTTCAGACCAGAAGCTCTTGTTCCGCGAAGATAAAAATCAATGACCTTTAAAAAAGTGTTGAGTCACGAGTGTACCGTGTGTTGAGGATGAGGAGGAGGGCTTGGAAGTGCACTGGAAGAGCTTGTGACAAAAGGATAAATGATCAGACACTGATCAAGTCAAACTACCAGAGGATGGAGGGGTACTGCACTTGTCAACCAGCAGCCTCTGTGTGTTGTGAAAGATGGGAACAGCCTCAACTTGGCCCTCAGACAGTCCGTGATGGTAGCAGACCTCGGCCCTTAGCGCCAGTTGAAGAAGTTGGCTGGGCTGAGGAGATCGCATCAAGGTGAGTGGTGTTATCCTGAGATCAGTACTGGCTAGCCCAGCCACGCAACGTGCTGCTGGTGGTGGGAAGACATGGAGCCCAGCCACGCAACGTGCTGCTGGTGGTGGGAAGACACGGAGCCCAGCCACGCAACGTGCTGCTGGTGGTGGGAAGACACGGAGCCCAGCCACGCAACGTGCTGCTGGTGGTGGGAAGACATGGAGCCCAAGCCACGCAACGTGCTGCTGGTGGTGGGAAGACATGGAGCCCAGCCACGCAACGTGCTGCTGGTGGTGGGAAGACATGGAGCCCAGCCATGCAACGTGCTGCTGGTGGTGGGAAGACATGGAGCCCAGCCACGCAACGTGCTGCTGGTGGTGGGAAGACATGGAGCCCAGCCACGCAACGTGCTGCTGGTGGTGGGAAGACATGGAGCCCAGCCACGCAACGTGCTGCTGGTGGTGGGAAGACATGGAGCCCAGCCATGCAACGTGCTGCTGGTGGTGGGAAGACATGGAGCCCAGCCACGCAACGTGCTGCTGGTGGTGGGAAGACATGGAGCCCAGCCACGCAACGTGCTGCTGGTGGTGGGAAGACATGGAGCCCAGCCACGCAACGTGCTGTTGGTGGTGGGAAGACATGGAGTCCAGCCACGCAACGTGCTGTTGGTGGTGGGAAGACATGGAGCCCAGCCATGCAACGTGCTGCTGGTGGTGGGAAGACATGGAGCCCAGCCACGCAACGTGCTGCTGGTGGTGGGAAGACATGGAGCCCAGCCACGCAACGTGCTGCTGGTGGTGGGAAGACATGGAGCCCAGCCATGCAACGTGCTGCTGGTGGTGGGAAGACATGGAGCCCAGCCACGCAACGTGCTGCTGGTGGTGGGAAGACATGGAGCCCAGCCACGCAACGTGCTGCTGGTGGTGGGAAGACATGGAGCCCAGCCATGCAACGTGCTGCTGGTGGTGGGAAGACATGGAGCCCAGCCACGCAACGTGCTGTTGGTGGTGGGAAGACATGGAGCCCAGCCACGCAACGTGCTGTTGGTGGTGGGAAGACATGGAGCCCAGCCACGCAACGTGCTGTTGGTGGTGGGAAGACATGGAGCCCAGCCACGCAACGTGCTGCTGGTGGTGGGAAGACATGGAGCCCAGCCACGCAACGTGCTGCTGGTGGTGGGAAGACATGGAGCCCAGCCACGCAACGTGCTGCTGGTGGTGGGAAGACATGGAGCCCAGCCACGCAACGTGCTGCTGGTGGTGGGAAGACATGGAGCCCAGCCACGCAACGTGCTGCTGGTGGTGGGAAGACATGGAGCCCAGCCACGCAACGTGCTGCTGGTGGTGGGAAGACATGGAGCCCAGCCACGCAACGTGCTGCTGGTGGTGGGAAGACATGGAGCCCAGCCACGCAACGTGCTGCTGGTGGTGGGAAGACATGGAGCCCAGCCACGCAACGTGCTGCTGGTGGTGGGAAGACATGGAGCCCAGCCACGCAACGTGCTGCTGGTGGTGGGAAGACATGGAGCCCAGCCACGCAACGTGCTGCTGGTGGTGGGAAGACATGGAGCCCAGCCACGCAACGTGCTGCTGGTGGTGGGAAGACATGGAGCCCAGCCACGCAACGTGCTGCTGGTGGTGGGAAGACATGGAGCCCAGCCACGCAACGTGCTGCTGGTTATGGGAAGACATGGAGCCCAGCCACGCAACGTGCTGCTGGTGGTGGGAAGACATGGAGCCCAGCCACGCAACGTGCTACTGGTGGTGGGAAGACATGGAGCCCAGCCACGCAACGTGCTGCTGGTGGTGGGAAGACATGGAGCTCAGCCACGCAACGTGCTGCTGGTGGTGGGAAGACATGGAGCCCAGCCACGCAACGTGCTGCTGGTGGTGGGAAGACATGGAGCCCAGCCACGCAACGTGCTGCTGGTGGTGGGAAGACATGGAGCCCAGCCACGCAACGTGCTGCTGGTGGTGGGAAGACATGGAGCCCAGCCACGCAACGTGCTGCTGGTTATGGGAAGACATGGAGCCCAGCCACGCAACGTGCTACTGGTGGTGGGAAGACATGGAGCCCAGCCACGCAACGTGCTACTGGTGGTGGGAAGACATGGAGCCCAGCCACGCAACGTGCTGCTGGTGGTGGGAAGACATGGAGCCCAGCCACGCAACGTGCTGCTGGTGGTGGGAAGACATGGAGCCCAGCCACGCAACGTGCTGCTGGTGGTGGGAAGACATGGAGCCCAGCCACGCAACGTGCTGCTGGTGGTGGGAAGACATGGAGCCCAGCCACGCAACGTGCTGCTGGTGGTGGGAAGACATGGAGCCCAGCCATGCAATGTTCTGGTTGTGGGAAGACATGGAGCCCAGCCATGCAACGTGCTGCTGGTGGTGGGAAGACATGGAGCCCAGCCACGCAACGTGCTGCTGGTGGTGGGAAGACATGGAGCCCAGCCATGCAACGTGCTGCTGGTGGTGGGAAGACATGGAGCCCAGCCATGCAACGTGCTGCTGGTGGTGGGAAGACATGGAGCCCAGCCATGCAACGTGCTGCTGGTGGTGGGAAGACATGGAGCCCAGCCACGCAACGTGCTGCTGGTGGTGGGAAGACATGGAGCCCAGCCATGCAATGTTCTGGTTGTGGGAAGACATGGAGCCCAGCCATGCAACGTGCTGCTGGTGGTGGGAAGACATGGAGCCCAGCCACGCAACGTGCTGCTGGTGGTGGGAAGACATGGAGCCCAGCCACGCAACGTGCTGCTGGTGGTGGGAAGACATGGAGCCCAGCCACGCAACGTGCTGCTGGTGGTGGGAAGACATGGAGCCCAGCCACGCAACGTGCTGCTGGTGGTGGGAAGACATGGAGCCCAGCCACGCAACGTGCTGCTGGTGGTGGGAAGACATGGAGCCCAGCCACGCAACGTGCTGCTGGTGGTGGGAAGACACGGAGCCCAGCCACGCAACGTGCTGCTGGTGGTGGGAAGACACGGAGCCCAGCCACGCAACGTGCTGCTGGTGGTGGGAAGACACGGAGCCCAGCCACGCAACGTGCTGCTGGTGGTGGGAAGACACGGAGCCCAGCCACGCAACGTGCTGCTGGTGGTGGGAAGACATGGAGCCCAGCCACGCAACGTGCTGCTGGTGGTGGGAAGGACATGGAGCCCAGCCACGCAACGTGCTGCTGGTGGTGGGAAGACATGGAGCCCAGCCACGCAACGTGCTGCTGGTGGTGGGAAGACATGGAGCCCAGCCACGCAACGTGCTGTTGGTGGTGGGAAGACATGGAGCCCAGCCACGCAACGTGCTGTTGGTGGTGGGAAGACATGGAGTCCAGCCACGCAACGTGCTGTTGGTGGTGGGAAGACATGGAGCCCAGCCATGCAACGTGCTGCTGGTGGTGGGAAGACATGGAGCCCAGCCACGCAACGTGCTGCTGGTGGTGGGAAGACATGGAGCCCAGCCACGCAACGTGCTGCTGGTGGTGGGAAGACATGGAGCCCAGCCATGCAACGTGCTGCTGGTGGTGGGAAGACATGGAGCCCAGCCACGCAACGTGCTGCTGCTGCCTGGTAGGTGGGAAGACATGGAGCCCAGCCACGCAACGTGCTGCTGGTGGTGGGAAGACATGGAGCCCAGCCACGCAACGTGCTGTTGGTGGTGGGAAGACATGGAGCCCAGCCATGCAACGTGCTGTTGGTGGTGGGAAGACATGGAGCCCAGCCACGCAACGTGCTGTTGGTGGTGGGAAGACATGGAGCCCAGCCACGCAACGTGCTGCTGGTGGTGGGAAGACATGGAGCCCAGCCACGCAACGTGCTGCTGGTGGTGGGAAGACATGGAGCCCAGCCACGCAACGTGCTGCTGGTGGTGGGAAGACATGGAGCCCAGCCACGCAACGTGCTGCTGGTGGTGGGAAGACATGGAGCCCAGCCACGCAACGTGCTGCTGGTGGTGGGAAGACATGGAGCCCAGCCACGCAACGTGCTGCTGGTGGTGGGAAGACATGGAGCCCAGCCACGCAACGTGCTGCTGGTGGTGGGAAGACATGGAGCCCAGCCACGCAACGTGCTTGCTGGTGGTGGGAAGACATGGAGCCCAGCCACGCAACGTGCTGCTGGTGGTGGAAGACATGGAGCCCAGCCACGCAACGTGCTGCTGGTGGTGGGAAGACATGGAGCCCAGCCACGCAACGTGCTGCTGGTGGTGGGAAGACATGGAGCCCAGCCACGCAACGTGCTGCTGGTGGTGGGAAGACATGGAGCCCAGCCACGCAACGTGCTGCTGGTGGTGGGAAGACATGGAGCCCAGCCACGCAACGTGCTGCTGGTGGTGGGAAAGACATGGAGCCCAGCCACGCAACGTGCTGCTGGTTATGGGAAGACATGGAGCCCAGCCACGCAACGTGCTGCTGGTGGTGGGAAGACATGGAGCCCAGCCACGCAACGTGCTACTGGTGGTGGGAAGACATGGAGCCCAGCCACGCAACGTGCTGCTGGTGGTGGGAAGACATGGAGCTCAGCCACGCAACGTGCTGCTGGTGGTGGGAAGACATGGAGCCCAGCCACGCAACGTGCTGCTGGTGGTGGGAAGACATGGAGCCCAGCCACGCAACGTGCTGCTGGTGGTGGGAAGACATGGAGCCCAGCCACGCAACGTGCTGCTGGTGGTGGGAAGACATGGAGCCCAGCCACGCAACGTGCTGCTGGTTATGGGAAGACATGGAGCCCAGCCACGCAACGTGCTACTGGTGGTGGGAAGACATGGAGCCCAGCCACGCAACGTGCTACTGGTGGTGGGAAGACATGGAGCCCAGCCACGCAACGTGCTGCTGGTGGTGGGAAGACATGGAGCCCAGCCACGCAACGTGCTGCTGGTGGTGGGAAGACATGGAGCCCAGCCACGCAACGTGCTGCTGGTGGTGGGAAGACATGGAGCCCAGCCACGCAACGTGCTGCTGGTGGTGGGAAGACATGGAGCCCAGCCACGCAACGTGCTGCTGGTGGTGGGAAGACATGGAGCCCAGCCATGCAATGTTCTGGTTGTGGGAAGACATGGAGCCCAGCCATGCAACGTGCTGCTGGTGGTGGGAAGACATGGAGCCCAGCCACGCAACGTGCTGCTGGTGGTGGGAAGACATGGAGCCCAGCCATGCAACGTGTGCTGGTGGTGGGAAGACATGGAGCCCAGCCATGCAACGTGTGCTGGTGGTGGGAAGACATGGAGCCCAGCCATGCAACGTGTGCTTGGTGGTGGGAAGACATGGAGCCCAGCCACGCAACGTGCTGTGGTTGGTGGGAAGACATGGAGCCCAGCCATGCAATGTTCTGGTTGGGGAAGACATGGAGCCCAGCCCTGCAATGTTCTGGTTGTGGGAAGACATGGAGCCCAGCCATGCAACCTGTGCTGCTGGTGGTGGGAAGACATGGAGCCCAGCCATGCAATGTTCTGGTGGTGGGAAGACATGGAACCCAGCCATGCAATGTTCTGGTGGTGGGAAGACATGGAACCCAGCCATGCAATGTTCTGGTGGTGGGAAGACATGGAACCCAGCCATGCAATGTTCTGGTTGTGGGAAGACATGGAACCCAGCCATGCAATGTTCTGGTTGTGGGAAGTGGCATTGATAACATCTCCAGTCTCTAGGGATGGGCATCGAAATGATTTATATATCTCTATATATATAATATCACTATTAGAATAATATCATGACAGTCTAAATAAACATTATCATAAAAAATAAAAAATAAACTTCAATGGAGACTTGCTCTGGTATCCCTTCTAGACAAAACCGGGAAGGGGCGAGAGAGGAGCAGTGTCCGGCCGACTCGTGCTAGTTAGATAAACTGGTTGCTGCCATAGGTTAGATACAGTAGCCAGCTAGCTAGCTGAAGTAGCGAGGCTAACTGACACTACTATCTTTCTGTCTGGGTGTCCTTTCTCCTCCCATAAGCACTCCCAACTCTCTCCTCCCTGGTGTCTGGGTGCAGGTTGCAGCTCCAAATATACGGACATTACCAAGGCTGATTAACATTGCAAATAATCCTCTCTTTAGCCCCCCCAGAAACTAAATCAGGCCTTGGTGACAAAGAGTCAGAGACCCAGAAGGTCTGTACTCTGCAGTCCAGCAGGATAATAAACCATAGGATTTGCCTGCCTGTGGTTTTAGCTGCTGCCTGCACTTAGTTCTCCATGTAGCTCTCAGAACAGATTTCATTGTACATGGGGGATAATTGCAAAAGCCTTGTCATACTGAGGAAGCAAGTTATCAAATTGGCTTTGAAGGCAGGGAAAATGCTGCATCCAGGTCACGCACAGGCAAGCTGGTTGGCTGGCTCTGTAGCTGACTGGCTGGGCTATATGCCTGGTTGGCTGGCTCTGCTCTGTAGTTGGATGGCTGGCTCTGCTCTGTAGTTGGATGGCTGGCTCTGCTCTGTAGTTGGATGGCTGGCTCTGAGGCCGGCTGGTTGTGTGGCTGGCTGGTTGGCTGGCTGATTCTGTACCCTGGCTGGCTGGTTCTGAGGCCGGCTGGTTGTGTGGCTGGCTGGCTGGCTGGCTGGCTGATTCTGTACTCTGGCTGGCAGCTGGATGGCTGGTTCTGCTCTGTGGGTGGTTGGCTTGGCAGCTGCTTAAAAGCTGCAATATGTAACTTTTTGGGCGACCCGACTAAATTCACATAGAAATGTGAGTTATAGATCTGTGATTCTCTTTGACAGCAAGTCTAAGAAGCGGTAGATCTGTTCTATGTGTTCTATTTCTATGCTTCCTGTTGTTAAGTTTCATTTTTGGGTCTTTTACTTTCGGTTTTGTACGCCAGCTTCAAACAGCTGAAAATACAATATTTTTGGTTATTGAAAATATATAATCACAGCGGTTTAGATGGTACAATGATTCTCTACACTATAAACTGCTTGTTTTGTCACAAACTGAAATTAGGCAAACAGGAAATGGCAAAGGTTTTTTTGGTTACTGCACCTTTAACTGCCTCTGTTGCTAGTTGGCTGCCTGGCTCTGACTGGCTGCCTGGTTATGTGATTGGCTGACTTGCTCTGACTGCGGCTGGCTGGTTATGTGATTGGCTGCCTGGCTCTGACTGTGGCTGGCTGGTTATGTGACTGGCTGACTGGTTATGTGATTGGCTGACTTGCTCTGACTGCGGCTGGCTGGTTATGTGATTGGCTGCCTGGCTCTGACTGGCTGCCTGGTTATGTGACTGGCTGACTTGCTCTGACTGCGGCTGGCTGGTTATGTGACTGGCTGCCTGGCTTGGACTGTGGCTGGCTGGTTATGTGACTGGCTGACTTGCTCTGACTGCGGCTGGCTGGCTGTGCATGAGTATAATATCTACCCCCGGCATTCCAAGTCAACTACATCACCTGCATGGAGCTGCCAAGGTCCACAGATACATCATCTTGTCAGAACACAGGGAGAGCTAGGTAAACAATGTCAATGCCCTCCACCCCTCTCTACCTCAATCCCACCATCCCCTCACCAACACTCTCATCCAGCAGGGTTCATACCACTGCTCAGTGACTGGAAACAGGGAAGGAAAGCATTAGGTTTCACAGCTCAGTGACTGGAAACAGGGAAGGAAAGCATTAGGTTTCACGGCTCAGTGACTGGAAACAGGGAAGGAAAGCATTAGGTTTCACGGCTCAGTGACTGGAAACAGGGAAGGAAAGCATTAGTTTCACGGCTCAGTGACTGGAAACGGGAAGGAAAGCATTAGGTTTCACGGCTCAGTGACTGGAAACGGGGAAAGGAAAGCATTAGGTTTCACTGCTCAGTGACTGGAAACAGGGAAGGAAAGCATTAGGTTTCACTGCTCGCCAACTGAGCTGGAAACAGGGAAGGAAAGCATTAGGTTTCACTGCTCAGTAACTGGAAACAGGGCAGGAAAGCATTAGGTTTCACTGCTCAGTGACTGGAAACAGGGAAGAAAGCATTAGGTTTCATGCTCGCCAACTGAGCTGGAAACAGGGAAGGAAAGCATTAGGTTTCACTGCTCAGTACTGGAACAGGGAAGGAAAGCATTAGGTTTCACGGCTCGTGAATTGAAACAGGGAAGGAAAGCATTAGTTCACTGCTCAGTGACTGGAAACAGGGAAGGAAAGCATTAGGTTTCACTGCTCAGTGACTGGAAACAGGGAAGGAAAGCATTAGGTTTCACTGCTCAGTGACTGGAAACAGGGAAGGAAAGCATTAGGTTTCACTGCTCAGTGACTGGAAACAGGGCAGGAAAGCATTAGGTTTCACTGCTCAGTGACTGGAAACAGGGAAGGAAAGCATTAGGTTTCACTGCTCGCCAACTGAGCTGGAAACAGGGAAGGAAAGCATTAGGTTTCACTGCTCAGTAACTGGAAACAGGGAAGGAAAGCATTAGGTTTCACGGCTCAGTGAATTGAAACAGGGAAGGAAAGCATTAGGTTTCACTGCTCAGTGACTGGAAACAGGGAAGGAAAGCATTAGGTTTCACTGCTCAGTGACTGGAAACAGGGAAGGAAAGCATTAGGTTTCACTGCTCAGTGACTGGAAACAGGGAAGGAAAGCATTAGGTTTCACTGCTCAGTGACTGGAAACAGGGCAGGAAAGCATTAGGTTTCACTGCTCGCCAACTGAGCTGGAAACAGGGAAGGAAAGCATTAGGTTTCACTGCTCAGTGACTGGAAACAGGGCAGGAAAGCATTAGGTTTCACTGCTCGGTGACTGGAAACAGGGAAGGAAAGCATTAGGTTTCACTGCTCAGTGACTGGAAACAGGGAAGGAAAGCATTAGGTTTCACTGCTCAGTGACTGGAAACAGGGAAGGAAAGCATTAGGTTTCACTGCTCAGTGACTGGAAACAGGGAAGGAAAGCATTAGGTTTCACTGCTCAGTGACTGGAAACAGAGAAGGAAAGCATTAGGTTTCACTGCTCGGTGACTGGAAACAGGGAAGGAAAGCATTAGGTTTCACTGCTCAGTGACTGGAAACAGGGAAGGAAAGCATTTTGGAGGGGTTTTCACTGCTCAGTGACTGGAAACAGGGAAGGAAAGCATTAGGTTTCACTGCTCAGTGACTGGAAACAGGGAAGGAAAGCATTAGGTTTCACTGCTCAGTGACTGGAAACAGGGAAGGAAAGCATTAGGTTTCACTGCTCAGTGACTGGAAACAGGGAAGGAAAGCATTAGGTTTCACTGCTCAGTGACTGGAAACAGGGAAGGAAAGCATTAGGTTTCACTGCTCGGTGACTGGAAACAGGGAAGGAAAGCATTAGGTTTCACTGCTCAGTGACTGGAAACAGAGAAGGAAAGCATTAGGTTTCACTGCTCGGTGACTGGAAACAGGGAAGGAAAGCATTAGGTTTCACTGCTCGGTGACTGGAAACAGGGAAGGAAAGCATTAGGTTTCACTGCTCGGTGACTGGAAACAGGGAAGGAAAGCATTAGGTTTCACTGCTCAGTGACTGGAAACAGAGAAGGAAAGCATTAGGTTTCACTGCTCAGTGACTGGAAACAGGGAAGGAAAGCATTAGGTTTCACTGCTCAGTGACTGGAAACAGGGAAGGAAAGGGGGGGGGGTATTGGAAACACTGGGCAGTTTGTGCGTTTCGCTGCTTCCAGGATTAACCTTGAATCCCCCCTCCCTCCCTCCCTCCCTCCCTTTCCACTACTTAGGCCTAATATGATTGAAGAGATGTTCTAAAACATGTTCATGATCTAATACCGGAGCTAATCAACCCATTAAGATGTGTAAGCCCTTTAGATAAGGCCAAGGTTTCATTGAAGGATTCCCTCAAAATTGGAGAAGGAGTCTTGCCTGGCATCTTTATTAAGTGATTCCTCACCAAACCAGGTCAAAAAAATACCAGGATTTTTGGGATTTCCACTAAATGTAATCTATACAATGTTCCTTTGGAGGAAGGATTGTTGACATATATTTGACATTTGTATCTAAAATTCATAATTGAGAAATAATCAAAGTTAGCATATTTATGACATTTTGGCTTTGCCCCAGGCCTCCTTTAACCCAAAAGAGTCTAAGCCCAGTGTAAGCCGGGGAAGGGGTTCTACTAAGCTATATGGAATTGTTTTAAGAAGGTCATACCAAGGATCATTTTGCTATTTGATTTTGAATTTTAAGACCCCTTGAAGTATATACAAAAATGTAAAACAATTATTTGATGAAAATTTTTTAAAATGTGTCCTTACTGCTACTAGCCCATACAAATGCATTGAATAACAGATTCACTACATGGAACAACAGATAGTCCCCCCAAAAAAGGTCTGTCCTATATCTGAGAAATATAGGAAACGTGTTATATGTATTTAACCCCTTATTTTTGGCACTAAACAGTCTCCATATATACAGCACAAGTCAAAAGTGGTCCTCTGTAGCTCAGCTGGTAGAGCACGGCGCTTGTAACACCAAGGTAGTGGGTTCGATCCCCGGGACCACCCCATACACAAAAATGTATGCACGCATGACTGTAAGTCGCTTTGGATAAAAGCGTCTGCTAAATGGCATATTATATTATTATTATTAAAAGTTTGGACACACCTACTCATTCAAGGGTTTTTCTTTATTTTTACTATTTTCTACATTGTAGAATAGTAGTGAAGACATCAAAACTATGAAATAACACATATGGAATCATGTAGTAACCAAAAAAGTGTTAAACAAATCAAAATATATTTTATATTTGAGATTCTTCAAAGTAGCCACCCTTTGCCTTAATGACAGCTTTGCACACTCTTGGCATTCTCTCAACCAGCTTCATGAGGTAGTCACCTGGAATGGATTTCAATTAACAAGTGTGCCTTCTTAAAAGTTAATTTGTGGAATTGCTTTCCTTCTTA